TACAATTAATATACAAGAAACGTATTCCGTCGTTTATATACACAATCCCCTTATCGCTTATCGTACTTTTGATTTTTGGGGGATATTATTTATTAACACCGTTGCCATGCGCCTCGGTGGTCGAATTGGCTGAGACGCCCGCCTAGCGAGAGGGAGAGGTCCAGGTTCAAACCCTGACTGAGGTGATATGTTTTCGCAATAAATTTAGAATAAAATATTTGGACGCTAACACCCTGTCACGGCTCGTAGTCCTTTGTTCCTTCAAAGTGTTTATCGCGCTTGAGCCACGCCAATTTTATTAATTTCTTAAACTATTATGTATTAGCTGATTTGGAAATTGTCAGTCAGGGAGGGGGAACCAAAAGTCACAACGAACAATACGGAGGGAACATGTCGAAACTGCAAATAGTGCATGTAATGTGTGACATGTTAAAGATTATCCTTTACGCATGGTACCATTAATATACAAGAAACGTATTCCGCCGTTTACATACACAATCCCCTTATCGCTTATCGTACTTATGATTTTTGGAGGATATTATTTATTAACACCGTTCGTTATTTATCGTTATTGTTACGCCATATGTTGCATCTCGTCGCAGGAAGGACGAATCGTTACGCGGTCCTCAGGACGCCCCTCATACAATTTTCATGCACGGTTGTCTCCCACCCGCGAAAGCAACAAGTTCGACCGCGATCGGGACGTCTCCTCGCGACGTCGCGCGTCTTACGTAAATGCGTCCCGTCGGATTACGGTGAAATTTTTATTCCTTGCGTGTACCCCGAATGAGAGAATGTGCGTCGTATCTCGGCCCCGCGCGTCCAGGATACGCGGCACGGGGCGGGTGGGGGGGAAAGGGGGCGACGAGAGAGGGTAAGTTACGCGTCGACGTATGATTTCTCTGGCGCCCCATGAAACGCGCATGGCAGTTGGAACGGCGCGTATTTAAGGGCTGATCTCCGGCTGTTCTCGCCACTGTCACACTGTTCTCGCCCGGGCCTCTCGCCGGCCACCCCACGCGGCGCTCGCCCTCGCAACCCTTAACGTCCTCCTTCGCCGAGAGAGAGCCGTCGTCCAACATCCACGTCCGCGACGTACGCCGACGGCGATATCTCAGCGTCTTCTCGCCCACGTCCGCTTGGTCCATCCCGCGACTCCGGGCACCGTCCCGCCGCTGTCCCGCACGGACGTCTCTCCGAGCCGCCGAGTCAGAGCTTCGGGGGTCACTCGCGAGGCATCGGGGGTACCACACATCCCTCGTGCGAGCTCGCGGTCCCGCTTAGGACGACACCGACAGCCCGCCGGTGCGGTAGGGTGCGATAAGAGGGGTACACGAGGAACCGACGAAGCTGTAAAGGTCCACCCCTTTCGCGACGCTGATCATCTCTCGGCGACTTACCTTCTTTGCTACCTTTGCGCTCCCGCCAGGTTGGTACCGTCCCGTTTGAACGTTCGAATCTAATCCCGGCGAGAAGTGACTTGTCGATCGACGTCGAAACGACGTCGGGGAGACGCCAATACGACGACTTCGATGTCGGCACGGCAGCGTCTCGACGTCGATCAACGAGTCACTTCTGACTGGGATGTTAACTTGCTCGAAAGGAAAAATGTCTTTCAAGAAACAGCCGAATTGTGCGATACGATCCGTGTTTACCTTATAATGCCGGATTTCCGTTTCTTTGAGCATCGAGACACGAAGTATCAGTTATCTCTTGCAGAATCTTCTTTGAATTCGCGAATCTAATGAGATCGCTACATACTACAATTAATATATAAAATTGTCATCAAAGCTTTGCTGTTCTATGTAATAATTGAGATATTTGGTAAGCACTCTGCGCAAAACCCATCGGTTAACAGTTCATTCACTGTCACGCCTGAAGAAGTCGATTTTTTATATGAAAAATATTAAGTATATTGCAGAAAAGTCGTCGAGCGACATGCTTTATCGTTCCGTATTTTAAAAGATGGCAACTTAAAGACTTTGCGACTTATTCAGTTTAATTACTCGCTGTACAAACGAAGTTTTCGTGTTTAACCAACTTTAGGAATCAAGTGTGCCATCGTTCTCTTCCAGGAATAGCTCCTGTACACCTACACACGAGGAATATAACTTCATTAGAGATTGAAATGTTAAAGCGGCTTTGAGGCAATCGAACCGACGTAATTCGTTTCAGCGGTGTTTTCTTGTAACTGTTGCGTTCAATCACGGTTTACGTGGCACACTCGTATTTTTACGGTTACGTAGCTCGTTTGTATTTTACGGTTACATAGCTCACTCGTAATTTTTTCCCGGCGCGCGTATGTTGGAAAACGCAGGGGTAAAGCACGATTACCTTGCTAGTACAATGAGTGATATTATTTTTTATTAAGCTCTAAACTTTTAAACCAACACAATTATCGTTCGTGAAGTGGGACGTAGAAAATGTCGGTGTTGTGGTATCAATTGACTGTGCCTTTTATTTACTGAGATCGTGCTTTTCTTGGACATTTTTCCAAGAATTTCTTGTCGCTTGGCAATGAATTTATTTCATGAGCTGAAGGACGCGCGGGCGGAGACCATCTGATAAAAACTGTACTTTATATACGATCAAACGTTTGATGTGGATACAATTTTATGTGTATATTGCATCATCTGCATACAAATCGGATTCTCCGTTTATATCATTACGTAACAGCCATATATATTTTACGTTACATGGAATGTCCCAGAATTGAGAGAGGATGGAAATATTTCGGCAAAAATTCCGCGCTGATACTCGTTGGTTATCACTCTTGAATTACGGGGAAACGAGACTTTTACGGGGAACTTTTCCGCGAATTAAATTCGACAGATGCAAGTGCGAGACGTTATTTGGCGCTCAACGTGGAGTGGACTTTTAATCGAACTTTTAATTAGAAATTTAATTACCGCTACACTAGCAGCTGAAGTTCGGAAAGGTGTGATAAATCGCCATCTATCTACTGTTCGCATTAAAGAAAAATTAATCTTAAATTGTACCGAGGTGAAATGTCCGTGTTAATGTTACGGTAATTCCTGTGTGCTTATGGTACGCCAATGATGCGAAAAGCTCACGTACAGATGTTGCGGGCACGTCTGATCTTTCAGAGGATCCGTTTCAAAGTTTGATATCTTAGGTATTCGAATTACGATGCAACTGGGCGAGCGTTTCAATTTTTATTTGACTGGTTAATGACGCGAGAGCTTGCCTACTTTGAAAATGTCCAACTTGGAAATTGATATCTTGAGAAATGGGATAAACCGCTGTCGGGTGTGCCGTCTCTCGATACCGTCGTGATAAATGTGCTCAAAACGGCTTCGCAGTTCAACGCGTGAATAATTAATGCCCTGATGAGGCTGCGGGACGTCTGCAAATTAACGTGAACTTATATTTTCTGCATCTGTGCTTACAAATCTGTATTTACCGAATATAACTACCGCGATACTTTGGCATTCGTTTGGCATTTGCACAAGGTACGTACAAGAGCAATACTACGCCGATCAATTAGTAGAAATTGGTTTTTCGTTTCTCAATTTGCGTTTAATTATCCACGATACGATTAAATGTTCTACGATACGCACGGGATGAGCATAACAGTCGGATTACGAATCGGGATTGATTCAAATCAATTCTCTCCCTAAATTACGCTGCATTACGAGCGCGCGCGACAATTTGTACGCTTGTGAACGAGATGTAACACGTGGCAGTTACAAATGTCGTCCTCATTAGCATACAATTAACGCAAGCCCTTAATTAATTATGTGCTAGATTCAACGCGCTTATCTTTTCTTTTCACTCGTTAGTCTTTTAGATTTCATCTCCCACCGGCGCGTTAATTGGAATCACCGCGTGGATGACAAAGATAAAAAGAGCAGAAAGAGAAAATAATAAATTAGCTGTTGCTTGTGCGATGCTGCAGCTCCGTATTTTTCTATTACGCTAAAACAATTTTTATATGTACATATTTTTGTTTTGTTTTGTTTTTCGCGCGGGACGAGAATCGATCTTCTCAAGAATTCTGCTCCGCGCGTCGCAGGACGGATCAGAGAGAAATGAATCTGGCAAATCTCTCGTGCAGATACGATTTCTCTCTTAAAAAAAAATATATATATATACACGCTCTTTTCCTTTTTCCTCTCGCAGACAATATCGTGCCATTTCCTCGCCCGAGCCTCTTAATCGCTCGACTGTGCGCGGTATCTTGACCGTTACGGAGTTTCAAACAATGTCTCATAAAGAGCGATCTTTAAACTTCAGGCTCGGAACGAGAATTTCATTCTCATTAAAGTAAATATTGAGAATCGCCCTCGCCCCTTTACGGACAGCTTAGGTAGAGCTGTAAGAACTGCGCGACGGGGGTAAATCCTCCCGCGGCGACCTCATTATACCGCGCGGCTCCTGCAATATTTCGAGGCGAGGGGGATTTCGCGGCTGACATCGCGCGTGTGAGTGGTCGAAGGGGTCGGCAGAAGGGGATCCTGTTTTACGTAAAGCTACGAAATTTGTAACGCCAACTTTGCCGGATACGAGCGCGACGCCGAGCGCACTAATCTCTTTCAGCCCGGGGGGTTGCGCGGGCCGTCGTGCACGCGACGGACTCTGCGATGCCTCTAATACCATGTATACGCAACTTTCGCAAGTTTAATCGCAATCGTAATAAAGAGAGGGGGGGGGGACACACAAACTCGTAATTCCGCGCCGTATCAACATTCATATCATCCACGGACGTCTTCTCGTGCGCCAAATGACGCAAACTCTCTCCGCGCACCGCATTAAATCGCGCTAGCTGTAACGAGCACGACTATTTCGCCTTCGCTATTCCGCTCGATCTCTCATTCCGCAAACCGACGCGGGAGTTTCGAAGAGGCTGGACGCTCGACTCGCAATCGCGAGATCGCGATAAGGTCGATCGGTGGGCGTTTCGTTTGCCCGTTTGACTTTATCTTACGGACGATGGCGGCATCTCGACGTTAGGACTTCCGCTATCCGTTGACAACCGCAAAATTACTTCCAGTTATTTATTTAGAAGCTGAAGAATTGCTCGTTTCTTTTGTTAACATCAATAGACAGTGACTGAAACAATCCGCACCAAAGAGGGGCGATTTTAGACAGTCAACAACGTTACGTTAAATTAATAGTCTCATAAAAATCTTAGCGAATAGGGTCACGTGGCTCGTTAATGCCGCGTTTCCTCGTGCTGGACCATTAAGAGCCCCCCTCAATACTCGTCGGTAAATTTTGTTTGCTTAAAAGTATGAAAAGTACGAAAAGACAGCTGCAGTCACAGGGAGCATTTGTGAATCCCTCGTCGTAACGGCGGCGCAGTAAAGCGACCGATTAGTAGAAGAACTGCTTAAAGTACAACACACGTAACGCGCTAGACAAAGTTTTGTCATTAGAAGTATATTGGCGTCAGTCATCTCGGAAAGTGACACCCATATGACCCATGGAGACACCCACTATGGATCACTAGTCTCCATAGTAACTCAGTGACACCAATGGAATATGAGACGGGGCAAGTTGGGTTGTTAATTTTTTACACGTCCGACCACGTAAGTGACTTATTGCCTACGAGAGAGATTAATTTCGTGTCCGACGTGATTCTCTGGTTTCTCTCTCTCTCTCTCTTTTTCTCTCTCTCGCCGAAATTGCTGGACTTATTGAAAGTGCGCGGTGATACTTGATGCGATGGGAGCATTTAAGCTAGCAAATGTGACGTAACACAATTACTGCGCTTGTCGGATATAGGAGATACCCTAAAACAGAATTTACGAAATATCAAGGTTCAAACTGGGACAAACTGACTTTCGTCGGAAGTGATGTGGAGAACGTTGATATTAGTCATTATATTGTTAGTCGTATCTCAGCATTGGCGATCTTTTTCAATAATTTCTTAGTCGTCTCCGCTGTTACGCAACTGACATTATTTTCCACATCTTTCTAATGAGAAAAATATTGAAAATAATATTATTACACGTAGTTTACAAGAATGTATGAATAATTTAAACAGAGATACGAGGCAATGGTGGAAAAAAATTTTTAAAAAGGGAGAGAGAAAGAGAGAGATTGAGAGGAAGGATTACAAGATATTTTGCACTGCAGGCATTAAATCGGCAGTTGAACCAGAAAAAATTGGGGCAGCGATACGTGAATCAGGAATTCCGATACAACGAACATAGGTATTCAGCAGTCAATCCGGAATAAAGTTTCGAAAATTCGATCCAGAGTTATTAAAGCAGAATGCCTTCGGAATCATAACGAGAAGAGATTGTTAATTGAAAAAGAATCGAGAATATTTCAAGGAAGCTGAAATGGCGAATCTTTTCGAATGGAGAAAGTGGTTTCTTTCATCTCTTCCTTCCCCTCCCTCTCTCTCTCTCTCTCTCTCTCTCTCTCTCCTCACTTCTGATACATGCATTTGAATATTTGAAGATATCGTTGTCAACATTTAATCTCGATCGAATGCTTAGGTCTAACAGTCACTTGAGGTTAAGATAGGCTTAATTATTTATTAAATTAACGTCATCTTGTTTACGAGAAAAATCAGTTTCTCAGGCAGGAGAAATTACGGAGGGAGAGTATTTTTACATTTTCGATCCTTTCGGACTGCGTATTTGTGTGGTCGCTCGCGGTGGCGAAAGAATGCCTCGTCGTCTCTTCCTCTCTGCCCGTCCACGGTATTAATATTTCATCGCACCTTCAAAGATTGCTACGCGGAGTCGATCCGCATAATATGTACGGTTCGCGTGATATGCATTATTCCGGTGATGCCAGAGAGGCAGAGGGGCCTCGAACATACTCAGCACTCTCAAGATACACATGTGCTTGTGCGTATGCATAACGTTACTCGCGCATTAATGATTCAGGAGGGATTTCAGGGCACAACTTATATACGATATGTGTATTCTGTTCGTATTCCTATATCTTGTCTTTCATATAGGTACATATATTTATTTCGTCATATTGGCGTCCCTTGGTCTTCACAGAAGCTTCCGCGGTTTCCTCAACAAAATGATGTTAACGCACGTTATTATCTTTATTATTCGGAATTTTACGTGCACGCGTTTTCGCCTTGTGACATACCAACGCAGGCAGCCGAGGTTTACTTTTTACAGTTTTATCGCATATATTTTACATAACATTTCAATTAGTGATAATTACTGTTTTATATTAAATAGTGCTAATTAATGGTATTTAATTATATAGTAGGTATATATAATATAAAAGGTATAATTTTAAATAGTAGGTACACAGTTGGGAAATTTGTGTTTTCTTGTTAAAGAAAATGCCGGTTAAAATTGCTGTGTTAAATATTTAACACATTCATGTGTTAATTTAACATATTGTCCTTGTGTTAATTGACCTCAAATGTAAAATTATTGAAATACTTGGAAAGAAATGTTAATACAACACAAGGTGTACTTATTTTTTAATCTTACGCAATACATATGTTCTATATTATTAGTAACAAGATTTATCTGTTAAAATTTACAGAATAAAATGTTGATTTTATTCTATACAACATAAGCGAGAGTGATTTCGAACCGTCGTTTAACTTATTACATCTGTTAAATGTAAAAATTACATTTTTTAAAATTCATTTTGTCATTAAAAATATGTTAATTTTACGCAAAATTTTTTCAAATTATTTTGAGATTCATATTTATTTTGTGTAAAAATATTAACAGAGTATTAGTGCGATCACTTAACGTATCCATATTATGTTAAATTAGCACAAAAATTTGTGCGGACCGTTAAATTTAACACCAACTTTTCCAACTGCGTACTCTTGTATAATAATTCGCGCACGTACATCGCATACTGCAAGATATTCGTCGATTGTAATTTCGAATTTCTAATGCCACGTTAATAATGTTTCTATTCTGCTGCGGTAAAAGCACTATTAGAGTTTATCGCGGTATTATCTCGGTATCAAACATTCATCCTCCTCTAATCGCTCTTAAGAACATTTAAGAACACGACGGAATCAAAAGTTTCATAATTACCTTCGGGTATTATCTCTCTTTGAGCTTTCGATGCGACAGAATCCCCCTGTCGAATATTTCGATCTACTCTCATCCGCTTTTTTCATCGCTATTTTTTTTTATCGCTGCCACGCGTGGTTTTTTTTCGTGACGGCAACTGCGTTGAACCTAAAACGTGTAGGTCACGTATGTAGCGAACAATAATTACACACACGTGCATCGAAATATATGAAAACGCATTTTTAGCATTGAGTCGTAGTATTCGTTGCGTCACCAATATTTGCATACGTGCGTTCGCAGTTGGTGATATGCGAACGCAAACAATGTTACAATCGCCTCTCTAAACATTCACGTTTTAATTTCGACGTCCCCACCAAAACGTTGCGTTGTTAAAAGCTAATTAAATCCCAATTTAGACTGAGACGTGCGACACATTGACCACATTGACGTAAAGGCTTCCGTGCTAAATTTAATCTTCTCCGTTGTCTCCACCTTCTTAGAAAATATTTGAACTCTTAGAACTATTTTTTCACGCGACTCCTTCTAAGACGCCTCCTGAACAACTTTCTTGTTATTTTACACGCGATTCTGAGATCCGACGTATCGTTAATCTCGCCCGATCTTATCCACTCGCTTCGCCCTCTTTATTTTTGGCATAGGCCTTTGTAGACGTCAGGATAAGTGATTTGCGAGGTCGCACCAGGGATTGTCTAGCGACCCTGTAATCAGAGACTGGTCATAAGAGATTTCGTCAAATTCCTGCGAGTGAGAGAGAAACACAGGCTATCTCTTACCACTTACCTACGATTCTACTACGGTCGTAGAAAAATCAGATAGCCTATGTTTCTCTCTCACTCGCAGGAATTTGACGAACTCTCTTATGGCCAGTCTCTGCTTACAGGGTCTCCAGGATTGTCTAATCTGATCCGCGCAAGGGCTATACATTCAAGCGCTCGTTTAGCTACTTCGACATACAGAGAAATTATTTTATGTAGTTTAAAATGGACAGAAAAGGAGTTTACGTAAAAAAGAAAAATAAACCACAAGAATTTGGTTTCTCGATCTCACTTTTCAAATGCATCGTCCCCCTCGAGCAGTCGCGGCCATTTTGAGAGATTTGTCGGGAAGTCGAGGGCTTATAAGAATTTCAGAGTACAACCTGGAAACGCGCGTGCATCCAGGCGCCTTTATTTATTGTAAGGGAGGATTTCTTGGTACACGCGTATTTTCTGCTTATTCTCTCGAGACTAGGTGCAGCGTATTTTATTCAAGCGAATTTTACTTCCGGCGTCGTAACACGTGTCTATGTGTATCCCACCTGTCTCCCGGTATGCGACGCACGGCATACATAAAACACGATTACCGGGGTTCATCAACTGTGTGAGCGTCGGCGAATCAGCAACAGGTTGCCTATTTGCCCCGATCCGCGTGCTACAATTGTATATACACCGTTCGCGCTCGTCGCATGCAGCACAGCAAAATATTATTCCAACGGCGCACACTCGGCGTTCACGCGTATCACGTACATCATAAGGAATCTCGGGATGCAGCCCGAAATTGACCCGCGCGTGTCACCTGCGAACAGTTAATTTAGGGAGATAAACTGTTTGCTCATTAGGTGACCACGGTAGATTGCAACGAGCTACCCTTGAGGCCGTCATTGGAGTACACATCGAGTAGATGTATCGCCGGACTGTGCCGTCTGAAGTGCATCTCATGTTTCTTATTAATTAAACGTCACTTTCTTCGCTCAAAGGCAGATACGAAAGAAACAATGATTTTTTAACACGCGCTAACGAGCGAAGACTCCCTCTTCTCTTTTTTTGCACGAGAAACTAATACGAGAATATTTATTCGGTGGGACTTGGTGCAATTTTAATACGAAAAATTTTTATAGTGGGAAAGCGCGTCTTCGAACGCCGCGGTTCTTTTTCACCTTTCGCAGAGACGAGAGAATATCGAGTTTATTCGCTCTTTGTTCGCGATGGAAATTTTTGCTCCGACCTGATCCCGCTATCCATTCAAAGAAAGAAAAGACCCGTCGGGCAGTCCGGGCACCGTGCGTAACACGATTTCCTCCCACTCTTCGAATTCGCGCTCGTAAGGTCCTCTCCTATTCTTATCAATAAGTTCTATTTACCTGACCTTTCAGATCTCGCCTTCTCTGCAACGCGACACTCCGGCTTTCCTCCTCTTATCGTCCCCAGCACTCCTCCCGTATACACAAACGCTTCATCTCACGTCTCGATAGGGCACATTTGCGGGTTTGATACATGGGCCTGGATGTAGCACGATACCCGGTGACGCGCGCGTCAAAGCGCGCACTTGCGAGACGGCACCTTGTCCAGGAAATAAAAGAGTATGGTTTATGCGTCGGACTTGGACATACACTCGCATCGTTTTGTACATGGTTTTAGACTCCTGCCTCAAGCCGAGCACCGCGAGCTTGGTTACGGTTGTCGGGTGACCCCAGAGGGTAATAGGCGGTGACTTGCGAAAATTGGCCGAAATGAGCAAATCGCGGACAGCTCTGATTTAGAATATACGAGATGGTACTTGCGAAAGTGTTTTTCAATATATATACAAGCTGAATTAAGATTAAGGATTAAATTAAAAGTTACAACGGCTTAAATAGAGATTGCTGTCTAACTGGGCGCCACGACCAGTTCCGCGCGTGTTTGATCGAATTATACAAGTTTCATACAGGCACGGATGCTGATTATGCTCATCATATCAGTCCACGTGGCTACGTTCACTTGTATACGCAGTGTCACGACAATTGTGTCTGAAGTTTAAGGCTAATGGTCCTTTGTATAGCATTACTGCATTTCCCTTTTGTTCGGGATTGCGTGAACGTCGACGTGTGAATGTGACATCTAATCCTCAATAGGCAGCCGATATCGTTATCGCAACAAGGAAATCGTACGCCTAGGAAGTCGGGCCGCGCGATACCCGCGGGTCAATATATGTGGACACTCGCTTCTGTCTACATATAGTTCTAGATTGTTGATTCACGATTCAAATTACGTTTACATATTTATGAAGGTCTCGCACTTGGAATCCTTACGAATTTCCAAATGTAATTTTTTTTCTGTCGCACAGTTTTTTTCTTCGTTTTAGCGCGATCGAATATAATTCAGAGTGCACTTACGATTCGCGCGCGAGTCGAGGAGGAAAACAATTTAACTTGATAATCGCAGCAAAATTACATATGTTTGCTATGTATATTGCTGCCAGATTGTCGCGGGAGCTGATATTTGATCGTTGTGGGAACCGACATCTAATCGCTGTGGACTGCTGATATTTCATGCGAGAGCAAACAAATTTCAACATACAATTGTTCGACGTCACGGGGAAAATCTGTTTTGCTGACAAGACAAAAGACATTTTGCCGAGTAGACTTGCCAATGGAAGCACTTTATAGCTTGCTGTTGAAGCAAATGGTCCATCCACGACAGATGCAGTTTTCCTATAATATAATTGTCGCTGATAGAATATCGATATAAAAATTAATGAGATCAAAGAATGGACGAACAGAAAACGAAATTAACTGGAGCGAAACAATTTGCTGATCGGAAACGAAGCTGTTTGACCAAAATAGGATTAGCCTCCTTACCAAGTCTTCCTGTCCACATAGCGAAGTTTGTAGCAACAGTTGGACAATTAACTGTTCCGGCAAATCTCTTTCCTCCACGATGCGTTAAGTTACCTCACCCAATCGCTGTTTGCAACGCTGAAGGAAGCTCTGGCATTATATTCTGCCTTACAGCCCAGAAAATGATGAGCTCGACGCTGATGATCCTCGTGTCCGTGACGACCATGGCAGTGCTGTCCGGCGAAGCACTCGCCACGTTGCCCGCTCAGTGCAACCCGGGATATCTCGACGAGCTTCCGCCCAGACTGCGTAAAATCTGCGTCGCCATCGCCAGAATATGGGACGTCAGGGACATGAACGACTTCATCGACGACAGAGGTAATTCGCCTGCCAGCCGAATCGTTCGCTTCACCGCGACACGTCTCGGGGCGAATGACTGATGTATAATTAATTTACCTAAGGAATGATGTGAAAGGCCAAATGTTGTGCGAGCGCACGAACACACGCGCTCCTTGCACGCGCCTCTACCCTCTCCCCTCGCATTATTGCTCTCCGCTATATCAATTTATGCTTACCGCCACTCGAAAACTCTGCCAGTGTACCAGTTTTGAATGCTGGCCCCCGAGTACGCCACCCCCGTGTCCGGCGTCCTCGGAATTGAAGGATTGATTACACGGCGATGGGGATAATCATGCCGCTCGCATTTGAATTGCTTTCAGAATACCGGGAGAACTTGCCGCGGTACGACAGCGGTGTCAAGAGGCAAGACGTCGATCATGTTTTCTTGCGCTTCGGGAAACGACGTTAGAACCAGGCATCGCACCCCCCCCCCCGCTCTCCATTCGCAAGCGATAAATGATTCGTGTTAAGTTCCCCGGGCAAAAGCGAAACCAAACGAACCCGTAACAACCCGCCGAAAGAACGATCGATCCTAGTCTCGTTAATGGTCGTTAGTGGTCTAATTACTTTTGTTTTCGCCGTATCTAAACAGCATTCAAGATATCAAATTGGCCCCCTCGAGCGCCCTGAGTCACCCCCGCGCGAAAGTAAGTATATATCTCGTTAAATATGAATTTTAAGCGTATTAGCGCAATTAGTTCGTCCTCTTTGTTCGACAAAAGCGAGAAGTTTAAAGGGACTTTAATTAGCAATTAAACGTATTAATTATATTGCAGCCTATTAACGGCCAACGTTCCATTCATGGGACGAGAATTTCACGTTGTAAGATAATTTCGTTACACGATAATTTTGATAATATAAATAATCTTCCTCTCAACACTTTAGATAATATCCCGACATACTGAAATACTAAAGACATAATTGTGTAACGCGCCCGAAAGAAATAATTAGATAGTTACGGAAATAAAAGTCTCACGACATCCCATTCCCTTCGTTAGTCTTAAATAATTTTACGAGTAACGGCAAATGTGTCAGCTGCTAAATATTAAACGCTCCTTGAAAATTTAAGCCACTCTCAATTCTCTATATGTTGCCTCACCACAAATAAAAAGCGTGCCACAATGATGCACAACATTTTAATCTATACTGTATCACACTGCGAATGTACCGCATTTACTCGTCTATTAATTAATCAATCAATTAATCATTGATGCGCTACTTTAACTATTAGATCATAGTCAACCTTAACATCGCCACCTTACGAATGTAAGAACGTAGGAACGTTGTGCCAGGCAGTAGGCTCATTGATTTTCACGCGACAACTATTTCCAAATAGCTACGCTCGTCTTCGCGTCGTAAGATAACAATCCCCCATATCAAAGTAAAGAGTGCCCTACGAGACCTACGCGCGCCATTTGTTTTATAAATCAATCACTTTGCGCCTCGTAACGCGATCGGCGTCATTGACAATTAGTCTGAACGCAAGATTCAATTAAACGTAAAATTAAATTTATTCAAATGAATTCCTCGAACGTGCAAGTGTTAGTAATACCTGAAATTCATATATAATGTACGCACCCGAATCTGTTGTTTAATTTAATTCTATTTACCCAAATGAGATTCGCTTGATTAAATTTCGGTGCTATGCACAGGCCTATTTCAGAACTGGAGAGGGACGGACTCTCTTTCTCTCTGCCTCTGTCTATCGGGGCGTTTATTTCATAAAGATTTAAATAAATTTTTTCAAGAAAACATCGAGAAGAAATTGCCTTCGAATCTCGTACTATTTAATGTAACGTTATATTGGATGATTGCATAGGTTCGTGTCCGATTTAAAGATACACTTAAATAGGTTCAATTTTAAAGAATCATCATAATCAATTGGAAAGTCTCCATTCTCTTCTCTACAATTGTTTTCCAACGATCTACAAGCTTGTCATTATTCTTGAGGGCGATGAACGATGTTTCGTAAATGCCACTAATTGTAAGTGGTTTCTTATTAGCGACTTATCACAGATCGCCACTGAATTTGACAACGCCACGTGTTTACTTATCTGTCCCGACTTGTTAAAGCGGCACCTTCGATTCCGACCTAATCAATTGGTCTGTCCGAATTCCCAACAATTGTCTGTCCCGCCGCATACGCTCCAAGGGTCCCTGTCCTAAGAGATATTCACACTGTCCCCAATGTCTCTGCGTCTTACGTCGTCGGATATAAATTTGCAACTCGTTACGGATGCGTTATCACTCACGGAATGGACGGAACTGTAAGATATGGCCGATGCGACGCGTGCTAATGCACGCATACTGCGAGGTAATAATAAAATATATTTATTATATATAACAGATAAATATATACACACATATATATAAAGTGATTCTCTCAGTACGCTCTGTCGTTTATTACACTACTGCACTGCACTATCCTTTGTCTCTCTCTCTTTCTGTTTCGCTCTTTTATCCACGATGTTATGAGTCTTATCCGCGATAGAAAACATCCCCAGCTTCTTAAATTTCAATATCAAAAGGGCCGAGATCGCAAGCATCTCCATCAAAGTACCGTCTGCCTCAGCAACGCATCATCTACTCCTTCCAGGTTGCCGGGTTGCACAAACCCGCGACTTCGTTTTTATTGTTGGAGGAGATCGGTATATAAATATGCAACGGTATTGGGATTTTTTCATGGACGTAATTCGCGTCGCAGAACACACACGTACGCACACCCGTGGCGACAGTGATTCCCTCAAAAAGAATTTGAAGAGGACAAGAAGGCTGAGGGGAAAGGATATGCCACGTGCGAGACCTATTGCCGACAACCAAGCTCGATTTCCGGCGGCGGGCGAGCTTTGCGGAAATCGAGCCGCGAGAGTACGAGGGCGGCCGGAGAGGATCGTGTGTCAATGAGGAGAATCGAGGTAGGCGAGAAGCTATTATGCAACGGCAAGTTTTTGCGACATCCCGTGCGAAAGACGTTGCGTCGCCTCGTTGCGATCGATTAACGAAATAAGTCGCTTAGCTACTTTGTACCCAGAGAATCACCTCCGTTCTCCACCTTCCCCCTTTTTCTTTTCTCTCTATTCGCCTAACGCATTTAACACGCACATCACGTAAGTGGTCTCGACCACTTAGCGTAAAGGGCAAGAAAAATATTGCCATGTTTCTATTATGCCCGCGCTAATATTTTCCGAGGGCGCACCTTACGTAACACTTTCTTTTTACCCCGTCCCGTATATTGTCCTGCCGCACTTCTATTGCGGAAATAAAAAATTTCCGCGTCTCCCGGTCTCTCCGCAGATCACATCTTGCAATGCGGCACACGACCCTGTCTGGCAACTTGGAGAACACATGGCATTCCGAGGGGCGCGTTTTTTTTTCCATCAAACGAAAATGGGCTAGGAATTTATTTAGTGTATCGCGATTTATTGGGCCAGCGTGTTAAAAACGCAATTTTTACGCATTAAAAGTGTTAAGGGAACATCCGAGCGAGAAAAGACTCGTCATTCGACGTCGAAACGATGTTGAGTCGACATCGACACCGCCCAATTGATGTCGAGTCAACGTCGAATTTGACAGTGTCAATGTCAATTCGAACATCGTTTCGACGAATCATTTCTCACTGGGACAAGCAACAGTAACATTTTTCTCTACTTCACTGATCTCAAACGTACATACGTTTTCCTCGCGCGGAAATTCAAGTTTACGAGAGCAAACCCCAAGTGTGGACCGACGTGAGCGAGTCGCGGATTGAAAATTGCATGAAAATCTCTACGTGGGAAAATCGACACGAGGCACATTGGTCGAGTAATAGTGGGAAGGACGTTTGGTGTACGGGCCAAGGACAAAGATAGGATATATTAAAGAGAAGAAGTCGGTGTTTGATTGGAGACAGAATGTCACGCTGCGCTCTAATTCGGTGTGAATATCCGTCAAATAAAGGACAGGAGAGGAAAACGCCCATATGTACACACACCTACACGTAGCACTGAAGCCGAAAGAACGTTTGAAAGCTGATGGCCAGGCAACGGCGCGGTCGGACTCCAGAGATTGATGTCCCACCGTCGTCGTCTTAAGCAATTTCCTGCGCGGCAATATTTGTTTTTTCTCCCATCGCCCTTTCCCTGTCAACAGTCCAGCACCCAAACTGCTCTTTATCGTAAGGTGATTGCGAGATTTCGCTGTATCATTTCCTAATTTAGCCCACGTGTACCGTGACCGCACATTTTATTCCGGTAGCGCGCAATATGTCTTGCCCGCTTCAGCACACACGCGCACACAAAATGGCCGCGGCGACAAAATAAGCATCATCGCGAAACGTATATTTTTCCGCCCTCCGTAACACTACGTTGAAACTTACGGCCTTATAAATTCATAGTCTGGAAACATGTAGCTGCGAAAAGAATATATTTTCAAAGAATTCGTATTTATAAAACACAATTCTATATAATCGGTGAGAGATGATTCGTCGATTGATGTCGAAACGATGTCGAATCGACATCAATCAACGAGTCATTTCTTGTTGGGTCTGACCTTTTGTACCTTAGTAGACATATATCTTCAATTTTTCTCCCAAACATTTTGTTTTAATAACTTTCCGATACTATTATCGGAGATACTAGAGTATAAACTATTAATAAAGAATACATATTAGAATATTAATATTATTATACTAATGTTGTAGTAATATATTACAACAACATAATTAATATTATCATAATATTATTGATATAACAATAATATAAGCAATATAATAATATTTTAATAATAATCAGTATTCTGGCTAGATCGAAATTTAAAGATGTAATTACTTTCTATTAATTACGTGACAAACTTATATGCATTTTTTCTTGACTTCAGATATTATCAACGTCAAGTTTTGTTGATCGTATCTGGCAATTTTTATGTTTAAACATCGCTACGTTTCGACCATGGGGTTTTGGTCCTTTTCAAGCGATCTGAGATAGTCATACACATAAACCCGCGTGTATTTTGGTGATGTAGAAAGGATTGTCATGTATAAGTTATACTTACGCATGTTCATAACACATAATGCTATGAAAATTTTGTGTCGGAGTTTGCTACACGAGAACATTACTTGAGAGATGACGGAGCATGACTCATGCATGCATGAAGTTTTAGTCCCCTCTACCGTCCCATGAACGGTGGTCAAAATGTTGCAAAACACCCTGTAGATTCCTTATATTTTACTAATTTCGAAAAAAAAGTAATTGAATAAACTTTACACATAGGCATCTCAAATTTTATTAAATGCTCTTCAAAATGAGCTGTTATTTTTAATTGTTCCTATAGATTTTTAATTACCAACCGAGTAAATTCAGCCATAGAATTCATTTCAATCCTTCGTATTGTACATTTTTCAAGTATGATATATAATACAAAAAATTTTGTAAAAATTATCTCATAACAATCAATTCAGCCACAGATAACGTTCTAATAGTTTGTTAGATTCCGACAACATCAATCAACTATAATTTTTATGTTAATACAAAATCACATGACTGATTAGGTTTAATAAAAAGTAATGTAAATAATAAAGCGCCGGTCGAGTAAAATAAACCTTCAAATTCAATATGTTTATTTATTTACTTGTGACATATACAGGGTGCTACGCAAGACTTTGACGTCCGGTCATGGGAAGGTAGAGGGGACTAAGACAAACAGAAAAGTATTGTACTATTTTGCGCTTGGACGAATAGTTATCGAGATACGAAATTTT